TTTGCCTTTGTTTTTCCCAATTGACAACCAATCCAGCAAGTTCAATTGCAAGACGCCTATTTTCTGCTGTAGTATTATATGGCAACCCTAGGCGACTAAGAGAATTCACCATCTGAGGCACAAATTGTGCTCTACAGCTGTAGAAAAGATCCGAGTGGCGGACAATGAGCTGGAATATATGGATAAGATTAGGCATCGAGTGGCCTTCTTCGACAAGAATTTTCTTTGTGTAACGTATCCATATTGGCATACGAGAATCGCCAAGAGGCAATCTTCGTGGAAGTGCTGGCATTAGTATATCAAGGGCTTGTTTGACCAACATCTTATTCTCTGGCTGGCAAGTCCTTAAAAGTGCGACAAAAACCTGTGTTCGAAGATGATGTCAGATGATCTGTTAATAAGACATAAAGTGACAGATGCATGTGTGCACACTAATAACACCACCAAATACATATTAAGTCATCAGATTTTTCAGTCCACCCTACATCAGTTAGGTAGTGATTGATTTTACGCCATATATTCCAGGTACCACCAAAAGTGACAATTGCATTATTATTTTAGGCCAATTGGTCACTCAACAGCATTGACTTTTAGTTACTACTCCAAACCCAGCCGTTTTAATTGGTGTTAGAGACAACCAAAAAAAAAAGTACAGAAATTATCACTATAAATAGGTAGTACTGGAATAAGCATGCATGACAAGGAAATTATTGCAGCAATCATATGCAGAATATCAATGCCTGTGAAACTGTAGCCAAATCACGTCTCTGTATAAAAAGATGAATCTTATATATATATAATATTCTTGAGAAAAAATAGAAAAAAAAATAGGCGCTCCCAGCTCAAAACTTACGATATCCATCGACCAATATCTTCTGAAAAATTAATCCCACCTACATCTTTCCTTGCACTCTCATTTGCTGGGTAGCTGTGGAAGACGAAGTTCACTGTTTATGGAGGTCATTGTATTCTCCACTATCTTTGCACAAAATTATTTCTGATTGAATTTTGGGGTTTTGGTGGCAGTAAGATGTGCTATGAAGGTCATCACGTAAGTCTATCTTGATACGGATGCAAGAAATTCTCAAATTGCTATATGACTTCACACAGTGTAGGATAGGGTATTTTTCCTCCTTTTTTGGGGAGGGGTCATCAAGATCTAAAGTCACAAGCAAAGAAGCATATGTAAGGACAGAAGGAACTGTTCTCCATCTCTTACAGCTATTGCATTCTACTCAAAGACAGTCTACTTAAATATTTTTTTTTTATAGGTAATCACATAATTTTATTAATCAAAAAAGAATACAC